GTTTCAGGTCCGTGGCGGAGGGCTCTGTGCCTACCTGGATGACAACGGGCTCAGCTCCTCCTGCTGCAGCACTGAGAGGAGCTGGATTTGTAACAAACGTGAGCAGCAGAGCCCAGGCAAGAGCAAAGGGATGAGATGGGCTCGAAACCTCTGTGTCAGCTCCTCAGGTGGTCCAGGGAGGGCTTCTCACACCCAGCTACCTGCTGCACCATAAGGCCACAAAAAAACCCTCGGAAAGGTTTTGCACTCCCTGGGTGAGGGGTATTTGGGGGTCCCAGGAGACTGGAGGGGGGACAGGGCAACCTTTGACATCCCATGGGGGGCAGTTCTGGGGGATTTTGTGGGGCAGAGCATCCTTGGTGTGCCTTTTTGGGGCTAGGACAACTTAGTTGTCAATCAAATGTAGACACCTCCTCCTTCTTAAAGAAAAGAAATTTTATTATATTCTCAGCACATATATATGAATTGCATGTTAATTACTTAGAAATACATCCTGAGCATGGGGAACAGCAGAGGAAAAGGCAAGGAAAGTGAGTGTGAACACATCCTTTTGATAACAAAATCAGTTTTAAAACAAGGTAGTGGCAGATATTAATACAAAGCCTGCAAAAGTTAAGCTTTTTCATTTGGGTTGGAAGCCTGGACAGTGATGGGCATTTGGGTCAGCAAAAGGAACCTTCAGAGGAGGCTGAGTTTTGGAGGAAAGTCCAAGTTTTCAGCTCAAAACCAAACCAGTGAAGCCAAGCTTCTGTTAAAGAACTATGGATGAATTTAATGACAGTGGCATTTGGATGTGATGAGCCATGCTGAGCTCAGACCCAAAACCCCCTGGACATAACCCAAAATGGAGCCATCTCAGATGGAGGTAGGACCATGCGCTGACATGGAAATGACTCCAACACTTGGAAAATAAGACTTGAGGAGCACGAAGGGACACTCCCAACCACCATGGTGCAACCAGCTTTGGGGTGATCCTGCCAGTGCATCAGCCCTTTGGGGACAGCTTGATGGTTGAGAGGAGCACACAGAAGTATGGGAAGACCCTCTCCTCTCTGAAGGAGGTGACAGAGAAGGTGAAGATGCGTTGGTGGCTGCCAACAGCGTAGAAGGAGACCTGCCCCACCTCATAGTCCAGGTAGACCCCAATATCCCCATTGAGGAGCGGAACAGAGGTGTTGGATGGAGCTGTGAGGGCAACACAGAGCTCATCATACTTCTGCAAGCCCCAGATCTTAGTGTTGGGTTTGAAGAGGACACGGCCCTTTCTCTGAACTGACTCACAGGCAACCCCCACAGCCCAGAAGCGCCCATTGGCCTCCACCTCCCAGTAGTGGCGGCCTGAGTTGAAGCCCTTGCTGCCCAGCATACACGGATCTGTGTCGAACCGGCCTGGACCCTCAGGCCACTGGTGTTGAGGTCTACCCCAGGTGGCCTCTTTGAGGTCCTCAGAGAGGATCACCTCAGGACCCACTGTGGCTGGATCCAGGGTGACGTCCACTGGAAAATGAAACAAAGAAGGGATCAGAAGCCAAATTTAAGCATAGTGGATGAACATTCAAAAAAATCCTTCCTGTCAAGGAAAAAGGGAAAAGAGGGGTGAGGTTGGAGATAGGAAAATGAAGAGAAGTTCAGGTTGAAGATGGAGGATCCCCAGTTGAAGTAGGAGAAGGAAGACACAAAATATGGAGGTTTTAAATGAATAATCTCCAGTAGAGTTTGGACATGAAGGAGCCAAAATATGGAGGTTGGAAATGAAGAACCCAAGGAGACAGAAGGTGGAGCTGGAGGATCTCTAACTCCACTGGATATCTCATTGGATGCAGCCCAGAATACACCAGGAATTTATACTTTGCTCCTCTCCAACCACTTTTGTTTACCTTCAAACTGTTTGGCAGTGTGGTAGTCCAGTGCAAGGTTCCACGTGCATGGCCGTGGTTTGAGGAAAAAAGCCATTGTGCCCACAGTGTCCTCCCTTCCCAGATGGAGGTGCAGGAAAGGGAAAGAAAGAATAACATTAAATTATATTCCTACAAATGGTCACATCTAAGCTTTCACCCCTTTTTATGGCAGGAAATGGATTCAACCACCACATTTAATCAAAATACTTCAAGAAAAAGCCATTTTTTTCTCTAGCAGTTGCAATGGAGCTGGGTTCACTTATGGGAAGAACCACAGAGATGTATTAAAACAACTAATTCCCTGATGACCATGGGAAGCATGTTGTAATGGATTAATCTACCTTGTAGATATGATTATACCTCAAAATTCCCATTCCTTGTGCTGGCTCAGGGCTGAATGTGTCTTAAATCTATCTCTGCCTCTACCATTTGTCAATCAAATCTGAAAAGGTTTATTTGAGTGAGAAAAGTTCTTAAAATTGAGATAAGTCAAGTCCAACTCTCTCATTCAGAGAAATTCTGTGAGAGGGGGAGAAATTTGTTGCTGACTCCAGAGAAAATGTGGGCAGGGCAGATAAGAGGTAGCACCTAAGGGCCTCAAATCCATCCTCTGGAACCTGGTGTGGGATATGCATGCAAATAAGGGGTTGTCTGCACCAAAGGGCACTAAAAATTAGATATAAAGCCAAAAAATGATTGAATAAACCATGCTGTGATGGTCAAAATGGAACAGGTTGCTTCTTTTTCATGTGTTTTCCCCAGCAAATCTGCAAAGAGTCAGATTAAAGCAGCAGGGGGATGAGTAGAAGTGGGAAAAAGCTGAGAAAAACCACCCTTAAAAAAAGATAAAACTGGAGCCATGCTGTTTCTCACGCAAATTTCCCCAGCTGGATTGTTATGGGTAGATGAGAAGCAAATAAATGACCCTCCACTGCAAAACACCTTTAAATCCAAAACAAAGATCCTGAGGTCAAAGCAAGGGTAAATCCACTTTCCTTCTCATGTTGATGGGATGAGAAGAGGGCTTAAAATTCCCTTTTCCTCCGCAGAAGACAGCAGGGTGATGTAACCCACCTATAAGCACAGGGATATTTCCCCTCTCAAACCTTTTTGGTGTTTTCTTTGGTGTGTTCCTCCAGATGCTTTTCCTCCACTAGCTGCTTCTCCACTGTTTTTTTTTTCCCTCTTGAGACTTTTTCCTCCCCTCTCTGGCACAGGCTTAGCCAAAGCTTAGTCCTGTCTATGCCTCTGCCAGCTTTTATCAGCCGGGTAGGGAGGAGCCCTCCAATCTTTCGCCTGCAGATGGGGCCGCAACGTGCTTGGACACCTCCTGCACCCTCTGATTGCACCTTTTTTTTCCCCTTTTCGGGGCCGTTTACTTTCTCAACACAAGTGTTGGGGAGGGAAGGGAGAAAAATTAAGGCTGTGCAAAAAAAAATGCATTATCGCACAGCACCACAAGGAATAAATTTATTACATTTTGTTGCCTAGCCCCCAAATCTGGCTGTGGCCCCTACTGTGCAACAGAACCGAACAAGGCAAAGCAGGGACAAGGCTGGCAGTAGCTTCCAGGTGAGGGACGAGACAGCAAAGCCTGGAAATTAGATGACATGGGGGAGATAAAATATATTTAATGATAACCGTCAGTGAGGAAATTTGCTTTTCCCACTGGGGCAGGTCATGCTGGGAACATAGTGCAGGAACACCCAGGGGCAGTTCAAGGACAGGCAGATTTGCCCCATGCCACTACCAATCCCCAGCACCCAT